TTCAGCAAGATGATGTGCCAGTGCTTGTCCTTTGATTGCCTTTTGAGTCACATAGATAATGTCAAATTCACTCAGCAGGATTTGCCACTTGGCTAGCTTGCCAGTGGGCATGGGCTTCTGAAAGATATATTTCAGCGGATCCATTCTTGATATGAGGTAAGTGGTATAGGCACAGAAATAATGCCTCAACTTCTGAGCTACCCAAGTCAGAGCACAACAGGTGCGTTCCAATAGGGAATACCGGGCCTCGTACGGGGTGAACTTTTTGCTGAGATAGTAGATGGCCTGCTCCTTTCTCCCCGTTTCATCATGTTGTCCCAAAACACAACTGAATGCCCCATCCAATACCGCAAGGTAGAGCAAAAGAGGTGTACCTGGTTCGGGCGGAACCAAAACTGGCGGCGTTGACAGGTATTCCTTGATTTTGTCGAAGGCTTTCTGGCAATCATCAGTCCATTTGGTAGCGGCGTCCTTCTTCAACATTTTAAAGATCGGTTCACAAATGACAGTGGACTGAGCTATGAATCGGCTGATATAGTTGAGTCTCCCCAGGAAACTCATCACGTCCTTCTTGTTCTTCGGCGGCGGCAACTCTTGAATGGCTTTAACCTTTGATGGATCCAGTTCTATCCCTCGTCGACTTACAATGAATCCAAGTAGTTTTCCGGCAGGAACCCCGAATGCACATTTTGCGGGATTCAGTTTCAGATTGTACTTTCTCAGTCTGTTAAAGAACTTCCACAGATCTTCCATGTGGTTAGTGGCTTTCTTGGATTTGATGATGACATCGTCTACATACACCTCGATCTCTTTGTGTATCATGTCGTGGAAAATAGTAGTCATGGCCCTCATGTAGGTGGCCCCAGCATTCTTTAATCCAAACGGCATCATCTTGTAACAATACATTCCCCACGGCGTAATGAAAGCCGTTTTCTCAGCGTCCTCCTCATCCATCCATATCTGATGATACCCGGCAAAACAATCAACGAACGACTGCAGCTCGTGTTTGGCGCAGTTGTCAATCAGGATGTGTATGTTCGGCAGGGGGAAGTCGTCTTTCGGACTTGCCCGATTGAGATCCCGGTAGTCGATACAGACTCTAACCTTCCCATCCTTCTTCGGCACTGGCACAATGTTGGCTAACCATGTTGGGTACTCCACTACCCTGAGAACCTTGGCTTTGACTTGCTTGGTAACTTCTTCTTTGATTTTCAAACTCATGTCAGGTTTGAATTTTCTGAGCTTCTGCTTTATCGGGACATGTCGGATTTGTTGGTAGTTTGTGAGCTACAATAGATGTACTGAGACCAGTCATATCATCATACGACCAGGCGAATATGTCTTCATATTCCCTTAGAAATTTCGTGTACTTTTCCTTTTCCGATGGTGACAGATGAACACTGATGCGTGTTTCCTTGACATTCTCTGTATCCCCCAAGTTGACAAACTCAGTTTCGTCCAAGTTAGACTTAGGCCTATTCTCGAAATCCTCAACCTCTTTAATGACCTCTTCTGGTATATCATCCTCCTCTAAATCTATGTCCGTTTGTTTCGTTGTCTCGTTGCATGTCACAATCGTCGGTTCATCAAGATAAGTAATAGTAATGATGTGTAAAATAAAGTAAATGATAGAAAAATAATAAGAGCGAGATTCATAAGAAACTGAAATGCTTTGATATATTTCATAATTGTTTTGAACATTGGAGCTCTTATTTTCGAAATTAAAAATGCGGAAATGAAATCAACTAGCGAAAAAGTAAAAGGTAATGCATGGTGCTTTGTTCAGCCTTGCTACCCCAAAGCTTTCCGGACTCTGGTGGTTCTGATGGACCAATTGTCGAGGCGTGCTCCTTGGTTCACAGCTTGTATTGAAGGGCCTCCCTCCCCTTCCTCCTCAAAAATGACATAGTAGTCCATATTGTCATCTTCCAAAAACAGATTCCTTATTGCCGCCAACGCTTCCTCTTCTTCTGACCCATATATGACATCTGCTGGCTGGAAAGTCTGCTCCAGGAAAGGTATCGGATGCTCCAGTGGGTAGTAGGGACTGCGCCATGGTGGCGACCAGTGGTTGAACTCCTCCCAAGTGTATTCATACCCCAAACCAAAAGTGGTGCCATGTTTCTTTAGCTTAATGGGTTTAGCGATTCCCTGGAGGTTTCTGCCAAGTCCCTTGCTAGGCTCGTATTCACACCAATTCAGTATACTTTCAATCTTGTCATCCCACCATTTATCCTTGTCCACGGCGTTGACTCGCTCAATGTGATGGTAAGTTTCTCCGCCTATCTTCCTTCTTCCTCCTATTGCCGGGATGGTCTGGCGACTGTATATGGGATTGCTACCGTCGCCGTGAATAATCACCTCTTGGTGATTCCACTCAAACTTCACTGCCTGGTGTAGGGTTGATGCTACAGCTCCAGCGGCATGGATCCAGGGCCGTCCCAATAGCAAGTTGTAAGATGCTGGGACGTCTGTTACTTGAAAGTCAACGTCGAACCAGGTCGGTCCTATTTGTAGACACAAACTGATTTCCCCAATAGTGGACCTTTGGGATCCATCGAAAGCTTTGACATTGATGGCTCCATCCTTGATCTCATGCAGGCTCTTCCCTAATGTTCTGAGAGTCACCAATGGACAAATATTTAGGCTAGACCCTCCGTCAACCAGAACTCTGGTGATGAAATAATCCTCGCATTGCACAGTGATGTGCAACGCCTTGTTGTGGCTCAGCCCTTCTGGTGGCAGCTCATCTTCGTGGAAAGTGATTTTGTGACTCTCCAACACTTGCCCTACCATGTTCGCCATTTCTCCTCCAGTTATGTTGCTGGGTACATATGCCTCACTCAGTTTCTTCATCAAGGCATTCTTATGTGCACCATAGCGCTTCCCGAGCGCATCTCTGAAGGCTTGAGGTTTGGCCCCGAAGGTTCCTAACATTCGATCTCGAGGCAGTATAAATAGATGATTATTATGAGAGAGCGGGAAGTTCCCGAGGCACGTGATCAGAACTGACAACACCTGCAAGAGAAACGTTAGTCTGTACCAGACTAGTAAATAGTTGTGCCAGCTATATTTCTTTGTAATAATTACTCATGTACTATTTTGAGACTTTCCTTCTTATATAAAGGGGATCCTTGGCATTTTGTAGGAACAATATACAACATTACTCACAACTTTTAATACAAGAACATTCTGTGCTCTCTAACATAAACATATTCTCTTGGTTTCATTACTTACATTTATTGCTTGTATTCATTGTGCTCTACTTATTGTTCTTCATTCATTACTCATATTGACCATAAAGAGCCTTCACTAAAGCTCTCAATACTGTTAGTCCTTCATCGGCCGTTCATAACTCAGCATCGAGCTCGACCTCGAGGCCCGTATAGCCGGGCTCGAGGCCCCGATTCTCAGCCGCTCGGTTTGCTTAAACATATTATTTCTAAGTTCTTATCTTATTTTCTAGTCTCATACATAGCATCTATTGCCTAAAAACTAGCATAAAAATAGATCACGTATTTTTAGAACCACAAAATCAAATCTAATTGTAATTACCATTTTCAAGGTAAACAATGGGCACTCTGTGATTTGGGGGCTAGCATCAATTTGATGCCCCTTTTAGTTTTTTAGTCAATTGGATTTGGGGGGCCCAAGGTTAACTACTTACATATTACCGCTTGCCGATAGATCTATTGTCCATCCCAGGGGGTGATAGAAGATGTGCTACTACAGATTGGGCAATTTATTTTTCCAGCAGATTTCATTATACTAGACTATGAAGCTGATGAACATGTCCCCCTCATTTTGGGACGACATCTCTTATCCAACGCTGATGTTGTGATAAAAGTTCATGAAGGAAAAATGATTTGACGGGTTGATAATGTGGAAGAAGTCTTTAATATTTACAAGGAAATTCAGCTGCCAAGTCACTTTGAGGATCTAGCTATGATATTTGTAATTGAAAAATAAAAAGAAAAAAAATGATGTGGGTGCATATAAGGATGACTTTCTAGAGAAAGCACTTATGTTCTTTGACAACATTAACTTGGATGATGAGGTCAAGGAGATGGTGCATCATCTGGATGCATGTTCTTACATCAAAGGAATGATCAAATCTGAGCCTCTAGATAGACCAAGTGGGCCACCCCCAAGCCGTCCATCAAAAAAGCTTCCGAATTAGAACTCAAGCCCTTACCCTCTCATCTTCATTATGCTTATTTGGGTGGTGATGAAACTCTACCTGTTGTTGTCTCTTATGAGTTATCTATTTTGAAGAAAGAAAATCTACTTCGCGTGCTTAGAGAGCCCAAGAGGGTGATTGAATGGACCATGGCTGATATTCATTGTATTAGCCCAATGTTTTGCATGCACAAAATTCTTATGGATGATGGGCACAAAGAGAGTGTGGAACACCAACTCCGCGAAGTGGTAAGAAAGAAAGTCATAAAGTGGCTCGATGCATGTATTATCTTTCCCATCTCTAACAACAAGTGGCTAAGTCCAGTACAGTGTGTACCTAAAAAGAGTGAAATAATGGTGGTCAGAAATGATAATAATGAATTAATTCTAACAAGGACTGTCAAAGGTTGGAGAATTTGCATTGACTACTAAAAATTGAATAAGGATACTAGAAAGGATCACTTCCCCCTTCCCTTTATCGATCAGATGTTAGATAGGTTGGCCTGACAAGACTATTATTATTTCCTTGATGGATATTCCGGATATAACCAGATATCAATTGCACCATAGGACCAAGAGAAGACGACCTTCACTTGTCCTTATGGCACTTATGCTTTTAAGCGAATGCCATTTGGGTTGTGCAATACACCTGCGACTTTTCAAAGGTGCATGATAGATGTCTTCACTGATATGGTAGAGAATTTTTTTGAAGTATTTATGGATTATTACCATTTTTTGATGAATGCTTAACGAATTTAAGTAAAGTGATTGCTAGGTGTGAAGAGACGAATTTAGTGGTGAACTGGGAGAAGTGCTATTTTATGGTACAAAAAGGAATTTTACTCGGTTACAAGGTGTCCAAAGATGGGTTGGAGGTGGATAAGTCAAAAGTGGATGCAATTGAAAAACTGCCACCTCCAATCTTTATCAAAGGAGTCAGAAGCTTTTTGGGATATACAGGTTTCTATCGTAGATCCATTGAAGATTTCTTTAAGATTTCTGCTCCCTTGTGCAGGTTGCTTGAGAATAATGTGTCTTTTAAGTTTGATGAGCATTTCTTGAAGGTGTACGAGGAGCTAAAAAAGAGATTGGTGACTGCACCAATTATCACCGCCCCAGACTAGGGAGAACCTTTTGAGTTGATGTTTGATGCTAGTGACACGACAATTGGGGTTGTACTAGGATAGAGGAAAAATAAAATGCTCCACTCAATTTATTACGCTAGAAAAACTCTAAACCCAGCTCAAATAAATTACATGGTCACAAAAAAAAGAGTTTCTAGCGGTTGTATGGGCATTTGATAAATTAACGGCCTATTTGGTAGGAACTAAATTCATCGTCTAAATAGACCATGCAACCATCAAGTATTTGTTTGTGAAAAAGGATGCTAAACCTAGACTAATTTGTTGGGTTCTTCTTTTGTAGGAATTTAATGTGGAAATCAAAGATCAAACAGGTATAGAAAATCAGGTAGCAGACCATTTCTCGTGCTTGGAAACTCGTGGACATGTTGAGGAAGGGGACGAAATTCAGGAATGTTTTCCTGATGAGCAATTGCTAGCCATCATAGCTGGCATAGCCCCATGGTATGCTGACTATGTGAACTTCATTATAAGTGGGGTGGCTCCGTCAGAGTTATCACCAGATGGTAGGAGAAAATTCATACATGATGTTAGACTTTATCTATGGGATGAGCCATTTTTGTTTAAGCATTGTGCAGATAAGCTGGTGCGCTGACGTGTTCTTGAGGAGGAGATGGAAGCAATTTTGAATGATTCCCATGCATCACCGTATGAAGGGCACCATGGTGGGGACAAAACTGCTACAAAGGTGTTGTAGTTGTGATTTTATTGGCCCAAACTATTCAAGGATGCACATACTTTTGTAAAAAGATGTGATAGGTGCCCAAGGACGGGCACAATTTCGAGAAGGCATGAGATTCCACTGAAGGGCATACTTGAGGTCGAAATCTTTGATGTTTGGGGTATAGACTTCATGGGGCCATTTCCAGCATCAAATGGACATCGATACATCTTGGTTGCAGTTGGCTATGTATCAAAATGGGTTGAGGTTGTGGCTTTGCCTACGAATGATGCTAAGCCAGTGGTGAGCTTTGTGAAGAAAAATATTTTCACACAATTTGGAACTCCGCGTGCTTTGATTTACTCACTTTTGTAACAAACTTTTGGGCAACCTCTTGGCTAATTATGGGGTGAGACACAAGGTCGCAACTTTTTATCATCCGCAAAACACTGGTCAGGTTGAGGTTTCGAATAGGGAAGTGAAGCAAATTTCGGAGAAGACAGTAAGCACAAGTAGGAAGGATTGGGCTAGCAAGCTAGATGATGCTCTATGGGCATATCGCACTGCATACAAAACTCCAATTGGCGCTTCACCTTACATGTTGGTTTGTGGAAAGGCTTGTCACTTGCCCCTTGAAATTGAGCATAAGGCATAATGGGCAATCAAGAAGCTCAACTTTGATATGGATCTAGCTGGGTAAAACGGATGTTGCAACTTAATGAGCTCGAGGAGTTTCGACTGCACATGTATGAGAATGCAAAGTTGTGTAAAGAGAAAATAAAGAGATGGCATGAAAAACACATTTTGCATCGTGAGTTCGAACCTGGTCAAGCTGTTCTATTGTTTAAGTCAAGGTTGAAGCTCTTTTCTGGGAAGCTCAAGTCTAGATGGTTGGGTCCATTTGAAGTAGTGCGGGTTACGAAGCATGAAGCTGTTGAGCTAAGGGATACTGAAAGCAATGACATATTTTGTCAATAGGAAGAGTGTTAAACACTACTAGGGTGGTAGTGTTTGATATCAGAAAACTTCGACAGACTTGGTGGATACTTGAGGGAACATGTTGCGTCATGCCGTGATGTTAAATCATGAAATGCTTGTTGGGAGGCAATCCAATGTTTATTGTTTTCGTAGATTAGTTTTTTTTCTCTCTTTTAGTTAGAGTAGGCTAGAGTTTTTCTTTTTCTTTGTAGTCATAGATAACATAGGTAGAAATGGTGTGGAATGTGTACAATATATGTACAAAGTGCTCGGGGGGAGCGGGGATTAAAAAAAAAAAAATCAGTGGCCATCGCTACATATGGCACAAAAAATAGGCGCAAAATTTCCCCCAGCGCCAGGCCTAGCGACGCGCTGTGCTGGGGGTAGGTAATATTTTTGTTTTATTTTTTTAATAACCTATTAAACCTTGTCCCGACCCGGATACCCATTTATACTCACTTAATAACACATGCCCACTATCCATCCCCATTCCCAATCTAATTAAAATAACTCTAACCCCCAATTCCTCCTCACCTGTATCTCTCTCAATTTCTTTCTCCCCGCTCGTTCTCCCTCTCCCTCTCGATCTCTCTCTCTCTATAAATTTTCTATTGTTCCTCCTTGATTTCATCCCTAGCATACCAGGTATGTTTCCCATATCTCCCCTTCTTTTTATTTTGTGAGCTATAATCTCCCGCCCCATCCCAAACGACCCCCACTCTCAAATTTTTCCTATTTTTCTCTTTAGCACTTGTGTTGCTATGGTGGGTGGTGTCAATGTGAAAAAAGTGGGTTGTGAATGTATTTTACAGAGTAGTAAATTACGATTTCCTCTAGTTCATTCAAAATTTGGGAGGGTCTACATGTTCCACCATTGTTCAATTGAGTTGCACACACTTGATGCCCACCACTTATTTGATAAAATGCTTGATAGAATAAATTATGTACCGGTGAAGTCTGAGAAGTCGAGTGTGTTTATATGTGATTTTGGGCTAAGTGTGGGGTGTTTCGGGGTGGTTTTACATAGCCCTAAGCTTGTGTTCAATATTCACCATGCCATAATCACACTACCCACTTATTGTAGCATGTATAATGTAAATTGTATCCTTTTGTTAGAATTAGTTAGTGTATTATATTCGTTGTAGTAATTAGGAATCAAGTGTTACTTTCACTAAGGCTAAGTCATAGTTGACTACTTGGTTGTGTATGGAATAACACTTGGAATATAATTGTGCGGCATGGAAAGTCTTGAGTACCTATTGCCTTGTGGTGCAACACTTGCGCACTCGCTGAACAACTATTTTGAGTATATTGCATAGATCCTTTGGGTCTAAGTGTGGGATCATATTTGACTTTAACTTTAACCTTAGGCGTACTTCTTTATTTATTCTCACATCCAAGTTGATTGTGTTGTAGGTTGCAATGGTCGTGACGGATCTAACAAAGAAAAAGGAGTGGGGAAGTCCTCTTCTATTGCCCCCCCCCCTAAAAAGCGCAGGCAAGGCGAGGGGTCATCTCGGCAAGCAAAAGGCAAGCAAGTTGCTGATGTGTCAAGGAGGGAATCTTCGAGACCACGACTCCAATTGATTTGGTTTGTGAGGATTTTATCCAGTGGTATCACACCTTCGAGCCATATGGACGGTATGTATCTGAAATGGGGATCAATGTGACCACTTTAGAGAGGAATTACCCCGATGTGCTGGGTCGATTGAAAAGTAAGAAGATGGACAAGTTCGTTGAACACCTGGGACATGCGAACTTGAGCATGGTAAGAGAGAGATATATGCGAATCGGAACGAGCACATGTTCATGTCGTGGGTCAGAGGGAAGGAAGTGACATTGGTTAGGGAGTCGTTATGCAAGTTCTTAGGGGTTAATTGCCCAAACTCGAGGAGGTTACAAAAGTTTGTAAAGTGCCCAAGCTACACCACTATTCGTCAGATTCTATGTGGCATAGATTCTGATGCTAAGTGGACGAGGACAAAGGGTGATACTCACAATGAGATGGTTCGATTTGACTTCAATAGAACTACCAAGGTGTGGCGGAACTTTGTGCAAGCTAGACTGACGCCAGTGAAGAACAACAGCGGGTGCACTAGAGCCAAGGTGTCTTTGATCTTCTTTCTGATGACTGGGAGTCCAGTCAATGTGGTGAGAATATGTTGGGGGAGATGGTCCGCACACGGTTTGGGCGGACGATGAAGAGGATCTTCTTTGGTAACCTGCTGACACAGTATATTCTCTCTCATGAGGTACCTAAGTACCCTAGCTATGATTATGTGGTGGAGGCTCTAGAGGGACTGATGAACATTACTTATTTGTTGGAGTCTACTTCCAAGCTAAGCCCGACTTCTTGGAATGAGCACGATGAAAATTTCAAAAGATATTTATATGGCTCCCTTAACTTGATGATGAGCAAGATGGGCATGATGGATGAGGAGCGGACGTAGCAGCGCAATGATCTGTCCACTGCTTCAAAGGAAATGTTGGGGATTGCGCTAGGCAGTCCCATTCACCCATCAGAGGATGAAAACACCAACAAGGGCTCAGATGATAAGGATGATATTGGTGCGGATGTCACAGGGCCAATGGCCTTCGTACCCCTTGGAGCAGATGATGATGAGCCTAGAGCTTCGGGTGGTGGGCATTCTAAGGATAAATGTTTAGAATATGACCCGAATGGGTCCAAGTAGTGGGGAGTTCTTCTCTCCATAATACTTTTGTTTTGAATTCTTATATGCATCGGGGACTATGCATAACATAAGTGTGGGGTGGGGGAAATACTTTCTAAAGTGTAATTATGTAAAACTATTTTTTTATTAGTTTTCCTTTTAGAATTCGTAATTAGACATAGTGTAGTTTATAATAGTAGTACATAATTATTAAAAAAAATCAGAAAAAGCTTGGACTTTTCCTGACGATGGATCTCTTGGACAGCTTTCTTGAGGATTAAGGTCCGAGTAAAAACAGTAAAAAGATTTTCTTTTGTTTCTTAGGATAGTTATGTAGTATCCATTGGTTATTCTTTGGGCGCCGGTTCTTTTCCAAGGGTGTAGCCTGAACGGGGTATTCTGCTTTTAACTTTTTAGGATTGGGATCGGAAGAAGGGTGAGTTTCTCTAAATACCTATGACATGTTTGGTGCTGGCACATTAGGATATGACATGCTCTATGTCTTCCTGTTATATTTGATTTGAATTGTGATGCCTAAATAAAATAAATTGCATACTCTATGATGCATGTTCTCAATTATTTGACTTGTATGTCACCTAGTTCATTACTGCGTAAATGTCTCAACTATATATGCTTGCTTGACTTGAGAGTTGAACATAACTGTCTTGATTGAGTCATGCAATGTATGTGTGAGGAATTGTGATATTCTGTGCTATTTTTGGAGTCTACATCCTGCCCTATGTGTTATTCGAAGCAAAATCATTAAATGGTGCTAGTCTAGGAGATGATGTAGGCAGTTCTTTGCTTGATCGTAGATATGCTTGTCACTTACAAATAAAATTTTCCCGTTGCTAGCCCCTTTGAGCCTATAGACCTTTTTCTTGGCACCCACATTACAAGCCGCATCCCTATTTTGTTCTTAACTTGAGCTTGTTGAACCTTTACCTCCGAAGGCACTTAGGCGCTAAAAAAAGTAAGGTGAGATATTGGGAAGTAGATTTCGAGTGGAACCATGGAAGGGCCCATAAGATGCAATAAAGTTGTGAAAAAAGTCCACTAGCCATTGAACCTTAATATATGGAGCGTGTGTGGAAAAGCAAGAAAAAAATACAAATAATGTTGATAGTCAAAAAGAAAGAAAAAAAAAGGAAAACAAACACACACCTCCTAATCTTACTAATTCGTGCTAGTGGGGATGTGGAAGTGCTTAAGAAAAGGGCTATGAGTGTATGATTTGTGACGAGTGAAGTGGTTGAGAGGCATATGTGCTCAATTCTTGAGTGTAGTGTGTTAAAGTACTTAGGAGGGTTAGCTACTATTACTAAATGTATCTTACGTGTCCCTTAGCCTATATTACAGCCCATAAAGTCCTAATTAATCCTAGACTTCGCTAGCTTAGATTAGTAGAGATGTACACTGCGGGCAAGCTTATGGTACGATCAATGGTATAAGAGTGAGCGAATTTTGTTCAATGGTGTGATGTCCCTAATTTATGTTCAAAAGTGATACTTGAATGTGTGGACTATTCCTATATTGACTCTCTTGTTTGTTGGTGAGGGCACATGATCTCATGACAAATTGGTAGTGTTATTAATTTCTCTGGTTGGGTGAGTATCTGAGTCGAGGGTGCTTAGTGGTAACGAGTTGGCTCTTGAGGTAGGGTTGTTATGGGTAGGCTGTTTGAATCGGTTAAATTGAAATGTTTATACTTGGGCATGTTTAAAATGGGAAGGATGTGAATTTTATATGTTCATGCTTGATTGCCGGAATCGACCATAGTCAAAGGTAGAGTGTATGGTTGAAAAATTGAATCGCTCCTCCATAGTTGATATGTACGTTGTTGGGTGTAGTTGATAGTTCCATTGCTTGAGTGCGAGCAAGGGTTTAAGTGTGAGGTGTTGATATTCGGCATAAAGTATGTGTATTCGTATGCATGTCGCCTCGCATTTTACTTGTATTTTATGGAATTTGGATGTATAATGTAATGATTTATTCTAATTCATGGTATTTTTATGTGTAGGACTCATCCGGAGGCAATGTGGGACAAAAGTGCACGAATTGAAGCAAAGAAGAGAACAAAAGAAGAAAATGGGCAGTGCAGCGTCTAGGCCATTGCCAAGCGCTGCTTGGGCCGCAATTTACAAGCGCACAAAAATTCCCAATCCAACTTTGCTCGGGACAAGGTTTTGACGGCCCTACATACCCCCAACTCGTTTAAAAAGAATTCCAAACCCATTTTGGGGACGGAAACGCCACTCTGAGAGGAAAACACAAGCACGGAACACTCGGTAGCACAAAATTCATCGATTTTTCCATCCTTCATCTAAT